TCTTCCTGAGCGAGTCTTAACCTGCCAGGGCAGCCTCTTCCCACAGCATGGATGAAAATGCCTCTAACTGCACATCACCAGGATGTTCTGCTCCATCGGTAGGTCAGTCACCCTCTCCTCAGCATTGAGCGTATTTAAAAAGAAAACAGAACAGGCGGTGGGGGGAAGCTAAAGGATGATGTGAAAAGATAGAGAGGCAAATATAGGCAGCAGAAAAAACAAAAGCGATAACCAGGATACAAGCCAACAGGGGGGAAAAAAACACCAACCAACCAAACAAAAGTATTTCATTAGGACTGGCTTTATGCTAAAGAATCATCAATGGTTTCTACAGGTGACAGAAAACCCCACCATCTCTAGGCACAGCTCTCTCTTGGCTCTTCCAAGGTCAATTCCTAACCTCCGTGTTTCCAAGCATGAAGCAAGCATTCCTCCAGGGCCCACAAGGCACCATGTCCTGCTGTACTGCCGGCGGAACAGCACAGGTGAGGGTCCGAGTCCGCTGCCCCGGCACGGAGAGAGGCACTCTGGCCTCCCAGCAGCGCGTGCCAGTCCTGGCGAGATGCCACTCACACCACACATCACAGCAACACCAGAAAAGTTTACTTGTAAATCGCCCTTGACAGACACAAGCACAGGTACATAATGGAGCAGAGAATTAATTAGGCACAGATTTGATTTTGCTCATGATTAAAGAGCTTATATTCAAAGTAAAAAAAAAAAGTTATGTAACAGTCCCCACAAGCTACACGAGCATCTTTGAGCGTGGGCTCTGCGTTTACCTCCAGTTTTTCTATTTCACACTTCACTGTGGTATTTGCACATGTCAAGCAGTGCTCCGAGGTAAAAATGCACTGGCATTATCTAAGTGCGACACACTGACGATTAAGGTGCATTCAGTAAGTCTCAGTACGGGAGACGCACGGTAGAAATCTATGAATAAAACTGTACTGTTAAACTGGTGAAGGACATCTCTCTACAGACATACACAGGAGAGACAAGACCTCATTATATGTATTTCTCAAGAATAAACACAGTTTTCACACTTTTTTTTTTCATACAAAGTGTGACAAATCCTGGTTGTTTTTTTTCCAGAAATAAAACTTTATTTTTATTGTCATTAATACCAACTTTACATACAGGTTTATCCCCCCAGACTGCATTTCCTTTGCTTTTTATTATATTTTTTTTTTTCTAAAAAAGGGCATTTTTTTTTTTTCCTTCCTTGCTCAAGAAGAATAAGGGAACTATAATTTTAAATGACGTCAAATTCCTTCTCGTTGGACATGTGGCTTTGCTATTACAAAACTATTAAAATGTGAAGGAACAAGTAATATCAAAGACACATACAGTAACAGCACTACTGCTTTGGGGTTGTGCTAATATACTTGAACAGAACTCGGTCAGTTCTAAATGTCTAACAACATTTTAGAAATTATATTAACGAAGTAAAAGACTTTAACGTTAATATAACCCACAACAAGAAAAATGCAGCATCTTTCTTTAATCGAGTATCTAAGGAAGCTCAGTTTCTGGTAAAATGGGACACCTAACCTCAGTTTGCCTGAGGCATAATGAGCTCGTAATGTCCAACCTGGCCTTCCTGCTTCAGCTGGTCCAACAGATCCTCCTTGCGCCGCTTCCTGCTTACAACCAAGTATCTGTTGTGCCCCTGCCCATGAGATTTACTTTTAAGACCATATTTTTGGGCGATCTGATGTATCTGCTTCCGCTCATCCATGGTCAGTTCTCTAGAGAAAGTCAAGTCAATGTGACTTTCTGAGCGTGCATAGTTTCGAATGATCTCTTCAATATCTCTTTTAGCAATTTTGTTCACCCTTTCTACGTCAAGCCCAAGTCCTTCCCTTTTGAACTGCTCCTTCACTGAAATAGGCTCTCTAATTCCTTCGCCATCGTTCCCTAGGCCACCACCCGTCCAGCCCATCTTTCGTAAAATTTGATTCCCGATGTTGTCTTCTTTGATCTTCTGTTTGAAAGCCTCTTCCGCTGATCGACCCCGAATCTCATTTCTGGAGATGACATCTTCGACGGTGCCTTTCTTCAGGTTATTAACAACAGTTGGCTGAGTCTTTTTGAGGATTTTCACGGCTTCCTCTGCTGCCTCATGCTTGACAGATTTCTTCACTCCAACTGCTTCTGCAATGAATTCATCTTCAAGCAGCACCTTGCATTTCCATCGCATGCCAGTCATCCTTTCAAAGACATACTCCACCGTCATCTTGTTGAACTGGGCGGTGTCGTTCAGCGTACACACCGGATTATTGGAGTTCTCATAAATCACGAGGTCCTTCAGGTCCTTCTTCCTCCCAGAGCCTCGTGACGAGCAGCCCACTTTCTGAACCTGGGTCACTTTGATGGCTGCTATATTTGACTGCATCTTCTGCAGAATTTTCAGTGCCTCCTCAGCTGCTGCATGCTTGCTGGTCTTTTTAGTGCCAAATCCCTCGGCTAGGCAGTGGTCTTGTAGATATACCTGACAACGCCACGAGCGGTTGGGCATTAATTCGTATTTATATTCAACGGACATTTTGTTATACGAGGCAGAATTGTTAA